TTAAATGTTGCTTGCTGGTAGAGAGCCTTTGGCTTGACCTAGATGAACAAATATTGGGGTTTCTTGACAGTGAGCTTTCTTATGTAAAAAAAAAAAAAGCATATGTTTTGTACATTTAGTATGTCTAAACCTATCAGGAGACCTGACTTAAAATGAGTACTGAAAATAGTGAGCTGTTGTTATCTTATATCATTTAGAAAGCTTACTTCTCTCCAGGAAAGTGCTATCCCAGTTAATTTTTGGGGCTAATTGATACTTTTCAGATTCAGATGATGTTTATCCAATATGTCACAAATTGATTTGTTTCAATTAACACCCTGTACATGTAGAACTTAATTTTACTTATTCAGCAACTGATTTATTAGCTATTAACAATAGTATTGGTTTATTTAAGAAATCATTTGTTTGTTTGTTTTTTAAAATTGATCCAGTTGGCTTTTCTGCCATATTCCGTTTGTTTGGTTGACTGCCATTCTTGTGCAATGGATTTGTACAGCGTTTTTTTTGTACAATCAAAATAAAAGACAAAGTTAACAATGTCTCCTTTTTGTTTTGTTAAGATCTTAAAGATTTGAATCTGAGGGGCTGACTTCCAATACTGTTATTTCCTGTTTGCACTGCAAAATAAATATAGTTGCAATGGAAGAATCTGAGAAATAGGATTTATTTTACAGAGGTGTGTGTGAATTTTCTCCTTTACCCTTATCAAAATGGACAAAGTAGCCTCATCGGCTTCCTGACATTTTTATCAGACATTCTTAGCTTTGACTACCGAGTTTGGCATTTGGCCCTGCCACCTTGTCACAAAGCTGGCAAACAGGATGCATCCTTAGGAAATGTTTTGGGCTTTCTCGCAGTATCCCCCGCCCTCACTCTCATTGTTGGAAAGCAAATCAAAATGCTTTGCTTTGCTTCCCCCCCCCCCCCGCCAACTCTCATGTATATTGAAATCTGTGTAATAGATGGAAGCTGGTATATACCAGATAGGTTTCAATAAATTAAATGAATCTGTCATCTAGTCCATGCATTTTCCAAACTGTCACGTATTTTTAGATTTGACTTGGAGAAGGTATTATACTATTTGGAATGATTTTTTTGAGGGGGGGGGCTATCTGCACGTAGGGAACCATTTTCAATCAAGAATTTTTATTGAATTCCATAGAGAACTGAATAAATTATGCCACATCTGTATTGTATCATTCATTATTTCTTGTATATAAATAGACGCTATGTCTTCCTCTTTCCAGGACAAATTATGTTCACAGAAAACTACCATGCAAACTTTCCTAAATGTTTATGAGTCTTTATGCATATGTTTTATGTTCCTAAAGTCGCAAAATAATTTTCAGTCTCTAAAGAATACTTTTTTAAAAAATCCTAGAGGCAAATGGGAAACAAACCCTTTTTGCCCATAACCTCAACATTTCCAGACATTTTCCGTCTTTACACATCTTTTATGCTATAAGATGTACCACAGGAGCAACATGCTGTTTTATGCTTTTAATAAACAATAGCTCCGCTTTTTCCAGTTCCTAACCAAGAAGCAGTTTCCCCTTTTTATCTTTCATCCAGAAGACTTCTAAAAAAAACTCTGAGTAACATTTCGAGAGAAAGTTATTGAAGTACTTTTTGATTCTTCCTGTGAAACAAAAAGCCATTATTTTCTTTCTGACATATATTGATTACATACGCTAATATTTGTATTTCTCATTTTAAATAAAGTTTAATGGAAACATATTTGGCCCACTGATTTAAAGCACAGCATTAAGGGGTTTTCTACTCTCGTTCAATGATTAATTGATATTGAAGCACAATTCTAGAAAAAATGTGTTAAATCAAATTGCTGAGGGCCACTGTGGTGTGGTAATTTGAGGGTTGGACTAGGTGTCTAATCCTCAGTCAGTTATCCACAGAAACCCTCTACGAAGTCTTTATTTTGGGAAGGGTGAGAGATGCCTAGTATTATTCCGAAGGCCAGTGCATCAGTTTGTCGTCACACGGCCACATGTCTTAACATGGTCCTTTTGTCATAGATAGCAGCAGAAAGGAGCAACTATATCCATGAAGAACACTTCTTTTCTCTTCATACATCTATGAAAATTAGATTGGTCAAAGTAATTTCTGTATACCATGCCATAAATTTATTTCTTTATACTGTAATATACTTGGTGCTGCGTTTTCATATTGTTTCAAGAACTCTTATTTCATGCATTAAGCAAGTTCAGTCATGAAACATTGTGTGCACTTACTGTACAGTCAACAGAATTCATATCCTCTAGGCAAGGTGAGCTCTTGGTGGTTAATTTACTTAGGAGGGCTGGTTTAAATCACTGTGTCATGAATGACTCTGCTATGCCCCAAGGCTCCGAAGGCACTAACTAGCTAGTCTTTCTTAGTGGCTCTGAAGATTATTTAGAAAATATGAGGACATAGGATGGAACTGTCCATTGGTTAAATCTGTCTCCTGTATCTAGCACATTTTTTTATAAAATAGTTTTTTAAAAAAACAGCAGGAGAAGGAAGTTTGATATAGAAGTTTTTTTTCCTTGAAAAAATGTAATTAGGGATGATAGGAATGAAGAGAGTGACTTCCAGAAAACACAGTAATTACATTTGTGTGCAATGTTACTAGCACTATGTATGAATTCTGTAGCAAAGCTGAGGATGTGTGATATATGTAATGTGGTAAGTGTTCCAAGAGGTGAAAGCTTTAAGGTAGTATTTCTTTAGATTTCATATGTAGATAGACTGTTCAAATCCTAATACTCTTTTGAGGTTTGTGGCATTTGGTTTTGAGGTCCAGCAAAATATATGTTCTTCATTAGATTTGAGATGCAGTCAGTCCCACATATTTGTGGGTTAAACTTCTGCAGATTTGATTGTTTGGGAATTCATGTATTGTAACTGCATTTGATGCTACTTGTTTCACATCATTCTTAAGAGGGACTTAAGAATGATGTAAAACAAGGGTTGGCATGAGGGAGTGGGAGGAGGAAGGGAGGTTCCTTAAGTCCTTAAGACGGTGTGTACAAATCATAAGACTTTTGCCGATTTCTCTTATGGAATTTTATTGTATAGGTGGAATCATTATTTAGACTATTTTATTTGGACAGTTACTCTTGGATTTGCATGGAGAAACAAGTCTTTGGTAGAAATAGCCCATTTGCTGAAGTTTAGTGTAAATGAATAAGGTAGCTGCCAGTTGGCTACCAGAACATGAAGGTGCTCCTTTATAAAGCAACCATGATCTTGTGTTTTATGATCTAAGTGTTTTTATCACCACTACACTGTGTTCTTTTAAGAAACGCTCATAAAAGCCATGTTACTCTTAGCAGTGGCATAAAAACATGAGCTCTTTATCCCTCAAAGACTCTTTAGAAAGATGTACACCACCATCCAAGATCTCTCTGAACAGATTTCTACACTAGCTTACTGAACCTTGGCCCTCTCCAAAGCCCCCTGCTTTCCCCATCAGAAATAAAAATGGAAGCATAAGGAGCACAGTTACATTGCTAGGCAACTAGTAGGCAGCATTTGTCCATTTGAATTAATGCCTTCAGTGTTTTGGAACAATAGATGTCTTCACTAATTATAAAAGGCTGAGAAAAAAAGAAAACAGAGGATGGAGCCAGGATGCCATTACTCCCAGTGTTTGTTTTCTTTTGTTTGGGGTCAATTTAGTATTTGTGCTCCTTGATGTTTGCCCTTTCTCTTTCTTTGCCTTGTTTCCTTGGGCCTGATACTTTCGACATCTCAGACTCTCAACTGGCATAATCCCACAGAAATATCCTAAGGATATGTATTTGTCTGAAGGCCTTATTGACTTGTAGCTCTCTCTTAATATGATACTACAGCCCCACTGGCTGTTACTCTTAATGATTTTCAGTCCTAACTACCTTGTATGCTCACATATAAGATGTGGGCAGAATTTGAAGTCAAAATTAAGATAAATCAAGGGCCACCAGTGCTTCCTAAGGGGTCCAGCTGCCCAGGATTTTCAGTCCTAACTACCTTATATGCTCACGTATAAGATGTGGGCAGAATTTGAAGTCAAAATTAAGATACATCAAGGACCACCAGTGCTTCCTAAGGGGTCCAGCTGCCCAGCCACTGTTGCTTCCATGTTCCCAGGCATTCAAAAAGGCAAGAAGTAGCACCACAGGGAAAAGCAGCAGGTGTCAGTGCTTCTTTTAGGTTCTCTTGGATTGGGCTAAACTCTTGCCTTTTTCCCCTGTACTCAGAGAAGGTAGTGATTTCTTCTTTGATAAGAGTTGATGTACAGTATAAATACATATTGACCCATGAAGAAGTTGATCCAGGGTTTTGACGTTGATTTTTAGACTAACATTTCTAGGCACACGCATGAGTATATAGGGCATGTTTTAATGTACTTGACTTAAATAGTTCTTTTATAAACCTCTGACAAATGCATAATGCTTTGGCAAAAAAAAATATGCAGACAAGTTCTTACACAATGAAAAGTCATTTATTATTCTTCGCACGTAATTTCCTCCTTTTTCAAATGACTTATACTTTTGTCATTATCCATATTATAACATTCAGTCCATTCATGCTATGACATAGGAAGCCTCTTATGTCCAATGTTTAACTTTTGAACCAACAGTGCTTTAAGATGATGACATCATGCTCCAGTCACAACTGTGTTGAAGAACAAATAGTTCTCTGGTAACATAGGTTTTTTATTACTGGCAATAGCACAATTACTACCTATTATATGTTAAGAGTATGGCCTAATTTGTATTTTAGCACATTTAGAGTTTGGTTGATTAAAAATTGCATTTGTGACACATATACAGTATAAAATTCTATGTTATAACATGATACAAAGTGTTTTATAGCACTCTTCAAAATGGTGTCCTCCATTTGTATTGTATTACAACTCCTATGGAGCTGGAGGGTGCTGGGTTGGAAAAGCCTAACATGGCATAGCACTGAGCCATACAAAAGCTGGTACTGATAATTTTGTTTGTTTCTTTTAGGGCTTTTCAGAGATGGAGAAGCGAGATCCTCAGGAGTTAGTTGGTGAGTACATGCTATTGTTTAGTTTCTTTCAATAATGTACCTTATTTCTTCAATTCTAAGATGCAATTGATTGTGAGGCTCAATCTATTGTAAGGTATACACTAAATTTAGTACTGGCAAAATGAAAAAGGCTAATATGTATATCACCATATATGATTCTGAGATGAATAAAAGAAATAAAGTGTATTTCATTCTTCAGTCCCTCAGGACCCCAGGGTAATGTACAGTTAATTAAAAATTAAAATGTGAACTATACAAATAGAAACATTTCAGAATAGAGTAAAAACTTCTTCACAAATAATTTTAAAACTAAAGTATTGGCAAAATGTAGCATATGTATTCTTGCCCATTTAAAATGTATAGCTAGGCCTTTAGGTACTCCCACAGTGCTGGTCTTTAGCTTCACCCAGGTTAGGCCAGTCTTCTTCCAATACCTAACATATTTTACTTCCACTTCTATTTTCCTTCTTTGTTTCATTTCTGCCTACCAACCTGGGTAAGGAAATTAGTACTGCAGTGGCTTAAAGCCTGCATGTTTTTAGCATATGAGACACTTCAGAGCTGCAACCTGACTGAACACATCACTGTATGATAGACTTCTGAAATAGGCAAGAAACAAGAGGATTCTTAGGTTGTGTAATACAGAGGCCTTGCCACCATAGATATGTTTGGCAGACTTCCAGATTGTATTCTGGAATTAAATTTCATATTTTACATTTGAAAGTTCCTTTCCATCATCAAAGCCCAGATTCATTTAGACAACGTATATGAAGTATGTATATAAACATTTTAACTTCAGCATTTATTCGGTTTTCTAATGATTTTATAATCTGTTAAAATATTTTCTTGGTAAAAGGTGTAAAAGACATGTGTGTCCATCCAGTGTGTTTTTTCTTCTCCGTCTTCACATCTTTGTCTGCATTCTTGAGCCCACGAATAAGCCAGTTAACTGTAATGCCCTTTCAAAGTTGGATGACTCAGTGGCATATTGATATCTTGTGTACTTTCATACAATTCTGCTGTTGCCAGGAAATAATGAAAACCTTCTCTCTTAGGCATTGAACTACAATTGTTTGGGATAAAGAGAAGTCATAATTCATGCTGCCCTTCCTGTCCATTTCAGAGAGCTTTGTGCACACTTGGTGGTAGTGCTTTAGCCATAACAAAACTGTAAACTGAGTATGTTCACTTTGGGAAAGACTGCCATTATAGGCAGTCCCCAAGTTACAAACCTCTGACTTACAAACAAATCATAGTTAAGAATGGAAGTGAGACAACAGAAAGTGAGAGAAATCATAGAATCAAAGAATCAAAGAGTTGGAAGAGACCTCATGGGCCATCCAGTCCAACCCCCTACCAAGAAGCAGGAATATTGCATTCAAATCACCCCTGACAAATGGCCATCCAGCCTCTGCTTAAAAGCTTCCAAAGAAGGAGCCTCCACCACACTCCGGGGCAGAGAGTTCCACTGCTGAACGGCTCTCACAGTCAGGAAGTTCTTCCTAATGTTCAGATGGAATCTCCTCTCTTGTAGTTTGAAGCCATTGTTCCGCGTCCTAGTCTCCAAGGAAGCAGAAAACAAGCTTGCTCCCTCCTCCCTGTGGCTTCCTCTCACATATTTATACATGGCTATCATATCTCCTCTCAGCCTTCTCTTCTTCAGGCTAAACATGCCCAGTTCCCTAAGCCGCTCCTCATAGGGCTTGTTCATTTTAGTCGCCCTTGATCATTTTAGTCGCCCTCCTCTGGACACATTCCAGCTTGTCAATATCTCTCTTGAATTGTGGTGC